CACTGGCTTCAGAAGGTGAGAAATGTCCCCCTGGCCCAGGTTGTCCACCCAGCCCCAGGCTGTGCTGCAGGGGCTGCAACAGGAAGGGCTGCTTTGGAGGCCTGGTTTCATTTACAGCCCATTCCTCCAGCAGACCCACTTTCTCATCCCGTTGTTAGAGGGGACATCTCCGTCATCCAATTGCAGCCTTGGATTTGCCTCATCTCTTTCTGCACCTGCAGACACAGCATCTGCGACCCCCTTTGGCAGCAAGTTCACCACCTGCACCTGTAAAGTTTTTTTTTGCTGTCTGCTTTACGCTGACCTCCTTTAGCTTTGTGTGCCCCCAAATCCTGGTGGGTGTTTGGCTGCGAACCCAAGTCAGTGGCTTCAGAGACCCACTGGTGACGGCTTAGCATGTCCCGGTGAGTCTGCGGAGTGCAATGGATTGGCTGTGCTTGGGAACACAGCTGGGTACCGGAACCCCCCCATGCCTCAGGGCTGTGCCACTCCTTTGTGTCCCCTGAATCAGTGCCTCTGGTCCTGGTTGCTTATTAACAACCCCTCTATATATCTGACATTATACTTCCTGTGACCTAGTTACTTCACTTACTTTCCTTTACTCCATGTCACCTTTTTCTTCCGATTGCCCTGGCTCCTCCAGCTGATCCACTGCAGAGAGTGACAGATGTGGGAAGTTCCCCAACAGCTTCAGCTGCAAAAAGAGCCACAAAGAAATCACTGAGCTTCTCTGCTACACCTTCATCATCCTCATCTGCCCCTATACCCTTGTCATCAGAATTCCCACCAATTTCCTAGCTGCCTTTGCAGCTTTGGTATATTTAAAGAACCTTTTATCAGCAGTTAGAGTGTACTTTGCAAGGCAATTTATGGATTCTTATTTTTAGCCCTATTTACTTCCTGCTTAATTGTGACCTGACATGTTTTATGGCTTTCCCTCTTTTTAGACCACTTTGGGCTTTGGGAGCATTACTGGGCTGGGGAAAAAAAAAAAAAAAAAAGAACGAGTGAAGGGTGAGGGGGAAAAAAAATGGGAAAAATTAGCATTTGATGACTTTGCAGTTGCCAGACTTGACAAATGACAGTCCTCCTCTCACAGGAGTGGCAGATGAACTAGGCTTGCCATACTTGCCTTTCTGAGGTTTGTGGTCCTGGGCTAATGAACCCCAAATTTCAAGCAAGATCCTTTTTCCCTGGGTTGTCCCTGGTCCAGTCACCCTCCTGAGCCTGAGATGAAGCCACGTTGGTCTCCCCAAAACCAGCTAGGGACAGTGACTTTCACTGGGCCATCTGCCTGATTGCCTTCCGCCCTCACCTGAGTTTCCCTAAAAGCTCTCTGTATCCGGGCTTTCTGCTGGAGAAGCTGTTCCTAGCAAGGAGGGCAGCACTTCTCACTAGAGAAGAGGCTCCTTTTCCCTTACCCATGTTCCTCCTGTTGGAAGGAGCACTACCTATCATTCATCTTGGAAACAACAAGCCACCAAAGCCAAAGGAAGTACAGAAGAAGTGAACAGTCAAGCCCTTGGGTCTGCATTGGTGTCTTACCTTCATTGCTCACTGTTACTTGTTCATGCCTCCAGCCTGGCACATCACACTCAGGATCTATGTAAAAACAGTCTCATAAAGGAAACAAGAAGGGGTTTTTTGGCAGCAGGTAACCAGAAAAATGCAAAACGCTTCCTGCTTTCAGGCCTGAAATGTGCTGCCTTTTATATGCGAGTTTGGGTGTGGGCTTCGCTGCGGTGCTTGGGCTGGCACGTGACATAACTCCATACGAGCGTGTGTTACAACCATGCAGACCTCTGGCCCCGACTCATTCAGCATTTTCCAATACAGCCTGTGCAGATGTGCTAAGAAATCACTCCAGTGTAATTTTTGGTCAGGACAGAAGCAGGTAGCAGAGTCAAGTGGCAGCATCTTCCTATGTCTCCGTGGGTTACTTGCCAGCAGGACACCCTGTATCTCAGGGGAGCAGCTGGATGGGAGATCCCAGACATGAAACGAGTTGTGGCAGTTCCTTGCAGCCTTTCACCCTGTGTGCAGACATGTCCTCTCTCACACCAATGGGTGAGGGTCTCACTCAGCTCCCTTTTCCATGTCCAGGTGGATTTTGAAGGATGGGCAGATGAAAAAAGGCAGAAGCCAAGCAGCAGCAGTCATAAAACACCACAAAGAGCTATTATCCATGACGGTATTTCCCAACAGAATCACACATTGCTAATAGCCAAACAAGTGAAATAGCTGAGAGTTTGCCCTTTCGGTACAGAATTCCAGTCCAGATAAAACAGCAGCCTTTGAAATGCTAAAGAGTAGTAGGCTTACAGTGGTATCTGATAGCCCCTCCCCAGCTCACCTAAATGAGAACTGGTTGCAGTTGCAGAAATTAGCTTTGAACTAGAGCAATGAAAACTCCTCTGCAGCTAAATGACGCAAACACCTGACTATTTTTGCAGCTTTTATTATCAGTGGCAGCAAATGTCTAGATATCACATCCTCAATAAACTTTTACTGCATTAAAGTTTCATTTATCGTTGAGCTTTCAGCTTTATTTCCAACCCCTATTGCTTTGCAAAAGAATGAGATAACACTTAACAGCCTTTTCATGTGCTTCCTTAGCAGGCTGCTCTGGCTTGTATTTTAAGGATGCTCTGCACTAAGCTGATGGAACCAGGCAACTCACCGCAGTGAAAGACCCTGATGTGTGGGCTGTAACTCTTGATATAGAGAAATCTTTTTATTAGACTGCACACATAACATGCAGGGAACATCTCCTTCACCCAGGGAATGGTGGGAGGGGACAAGGCTCAGAGAAAAAGAAGGGGGCAGCATGCACGGGGGATGTGCATTAAGGAAACTCTTGGGGAAGGGAGCTGGTTCCTCTCGTAGGGCTTTTCCTGCTGGAGGATGGTGAGGGCCTTTCCACCTCTTTTGCTAAGGCTGGCCACCATGCCGTGCTTTGTTACTCACGGGTGAGTACTCCCAGAGGTAAAGTCAAGAAGATAAGACCAGATCTCTCCCACCCTTTGAGTAAGGTACCATGAACAGCTAAATCCAGGCAGCCCTGCTTGCACGGAGTAAAGGTTGATTGTGCATGTTGGGATGCACACAGCCAGCGGAGGGTGGCTCCGGCCACCGGACCCTGGCCTCCTACAGAACCTGCCAACGGCAACAACAGGGAGACACTTGCACCTTTTCTCACAAGGCTACTTCTGACCAGCTGGCCATTGCAAGCAGTTCACAGAAAGCTGGGTCTGTCTCCTTTTGCTGGAGAAGCCACGTGTGAAAGACCAGGACTGTTCAGTTCCCTGTTTTCAACCACAAAACTGGAGAGTGGAGCTGGTTTTCATCACCAAGAGCACTGGAACAACTCACCCTCATAACCTCTACAGGCACATACGGTGTTTTCTATCACTTGTCCCCAGACTTGTCATTTAAGCAGAAAGACACTTTTTTTTTCAGCTGTGAGACATTAACGGACCCATCCACACAAAGCTGCCATCACGGAGAGCAGCTTGTCCAGCATTTTCAAAGGAGACCCAGCTGCACGAACTACCCCATTCCCACCAAAAGCAATCACAGAAAATTGGTGCCACCTTTACAACAATAAACATTTTAGCTTCATCAGCATTTAATAACATTTCTGATCGAAACCTCTGAGTGAAAGCTGGGTGCTGATGCAACCAGTGTCTGCACACTTGCATCTAAACTCTGCACAAGTTTTAACGTAAAATCATCTCTACATTTGTAAAAAAAAAAAAAAACAACCCACTAACAACAACGACATAAGAAAGCCTTGTTACTGAGAAACAGTAGTATTTAATAGCAAAAGTTAATCTGTATATATAAAAAACAAACCACAATATATAATATGGAATTAAATGATGCTTTAAATGAACTTAACCTATAAATATATGTACATATTTGTGCATATATGTATTATATATAAGGATATGTTAATGCTAGTCAATAGATTATGCACACTTAGTAAAGTATGGAAAAATGTGGATTCTTTTATAGACAGATTTATTGAGTAAATGTAAGGAATTAAAAAAACCTCCAAACTTAAGATTGTTCAATCAAACCACAAGGAGTGCAAGAGCAAGAAAAGCTAATGCTTTTCACAGGAGCTGAGGATATATAATCAGTGTAGTTGTGCAAGACGGAGAACAATAGTGTTTGTTGGAAGATGTTTCTTGTCATTGTACTGGGAAGGAAGGCTGCATAAAAGGTCAGACAAGTACCATTGTCTCACACAAGGCATGTCAGCAGAGGTCTGAACTGAATGCTTTCAGATAGGAAATACTGGTGGGTTGAGGAGGGGAAAAAGACTGTATCTGATACAGTACAGAGAAACAGGGCAAGTTCTCATGAAGAACAGTTTTGATCTGCCCAAAGCCATGCAGGCTGCCTGTAGCTGAAATGCAGTGAGCAGAAATACAGGCAAAGCTCTGCGTGCTGACGTTTTTCAGCTTCACACATACTGACTAGGCCATCTTGCAGAAGGACTGAAAAACAGCCTGGTTACAGTCCTGGTAACGTGGCTACGCTCACTCTCTTGCCAACATACTGGCCTCCTGAAAGAAGTCTAATCTTTGTCGGAGCCCGTTAGTTCTTCCACAGGCAAAGCTCTGCGTGCTGACGTTTTTCAGCTTCACACATACTGACTAGGCCATCTTGCAGAAGGACTGAAAAACAGCCGGGTTACAGTCCTGGTAACGTGGCTACGCTCACTCTCTTGCCAATGTACTGGCCTCCTGAAAGAAGCCTGCTGGTTCTTCCAGAAGTCCTCTTCTCCCTACCCTCTGCTTCACTTTTCCCCTATTTCAGAGAGCTGTCCATGATCTCTTTCAGTCAGGGGTCTTCCTTTAGTAAATCTTCAGAGAATCTGGGGTTATAGACTTGGCTGTCTCTTCTGCTGAAGTGACTGCATTGGTGAGAGGCTGTGAAACACTTTGGTCTGACCGTTGTCGCGGTGGTTGTCATCCTACTGCTCTCGTCGCTTAGTATCTGTTCTGCATCCTAAAGCCCTCGGGCTCCCGTGATATTTCATACTACAGAGAATTTAGACAAGAAAAGAAGAGAAATAAAGAGTAGGTCTGGGTCAGAAAGCTCCTTTCTCAGAACGCTTCGGCATGCAGCACACTGCACATGACAACCCTCTCTGTGTGACACACACTGGCCCTCAAGGAAAACCAAACAGACTGATTTTCATGAGGGAAAAGTTGACACCATTGGAAAGTTAGAAATGCCCAAACCCATGTGAATCTGATCAATCAACTGACTAAAGAGATGTTTTTCTTCTCTTAATTGGCAGCTTTTTAAAAGCGGAGGGTTTTTTTATACATCAGGTTTCTGTGTTGCTTCTATCACGGTTTAGACCTCAATTCTGCAAAACATGTAAATTACATGTAAATGTAAATTACAATTAAACAGGTGTTCTTCACTAAACACAGATAGTTTCTTGCACCACAGAGGTGGAGTTAAATTGTCATTTAAGCAATATTTCAACAGACAGTATGCTTCCTATTTACTCGATGCATGCAGAACTCAGCAAATCAATCCTATCTCAGTGTATCACTTCTCAAGCCTCACTCCCTCTGCAGCTCCCTGGCAGAGTTTGAGGATAAAACAGGCCATTTTTTCATAACACACTTTCCAGCTATGACATGCCTCTGCTGAACAGGCCACCCTGGGCCATATCGACGCAAAGCTGTGCACTTCACCCCTCTGCAATGCTGCAGCAACTGCAGAGGAGTTTGCTGTGAACGAGGCAGTGGCAGCGTGGGTGGGAGGACACCGACGCTCTGGGCAGCTCTGCCAGCTTAACCTGACTGCGAATCTTGCACGAGGGAAGTGCCACTGCAGCACCTCTCGACTCTACAACCAGCTTTAAAGCAGCGGAGGTTATAACAGTTACTACAGTAGCTTTGGAAAGGTCTTCACAAGCTGGGTGTTGATCTCTGTCTTGGGGAATTTTTTTGAACTGCAGCTAGTTATTTTGTTGATTTTATACCACTTTGGCCTTTTTATACCACTTTGGCCTTCTAGATCAAGGGAGGGTGGACAGAGTGGAGTTTAGGTTTCGACAATGTCTGTAGCCCACAGCGGTACAGTTCAGAAACACAACCCCCATAGGCCTGTGTAAAACACTTACCACATCATCATAATCCTGCTCCAGAAAATGACCCCTATTTGAGGAGCGCATCTCATATGGGTTGTTTGGCTGATATCCTGGATTCGCATGGCCAGAAGTGGTCTGGACTCTGGGGAACATGGTGGGCTGTCTATCATCAGAGGTATTTTGCTTGGAATATCCTGACTTAATCAGGCTCTTCTTCTCTGGATCTTGTTTGTGTTTGGCTCTTCAGAGGAAATGAAAGAACAAAGAAGGTTTTAAAGGACTTTTCAGTGTGCTTTACTTATTAAGCCCAACTTACTGAATCGCTTGCTCCCACCGTATTTTGAATACTCAGTCCTGTTCTGAAACATGCAACAGATTTTTGTAGCATACCTATTGCAAAACTTTTTTGTCCGTGACAGAGTGCAAAGTTTGGCCTCTTTTATCATAGATGGGGCTAAGCTACTAGGAGAGACAGAGGGGGACTTCGGCCCCTTTCAACAAGTTCCTAGAGTGAAGGAGTTTCTTTGATCACGGCTAGCTCTAACTGACTATCCAGAGGACAAAATAAGGCATTCATTAGGCCCAGTTAAGAAAAGCTGCCCTTGTGCCTGCAGCCAAAGCTGGACACTCAAATGATGCATTTGAGTTGCCTGTGATCACAGGTACAGATACACACATAAAATGTGTGTTTATTTATTGTGTGGGGAGAAGTGCGGAGGCGCAACTGCAATTGAGAATTTGACAGAACACTGCAAATAGCAAGCTTTAAAGAGATGTTTGGCTGAAGTGCCACCTGTATTGAGCTGAAAGGGGCATGCCAGACCTTGAGCTGAAGTGCCACCTTCAGCATCCTTCTTCAGTCTCATCCAGATGCCATATGAGTACTGACTAAGGCAGGATTAGGATTAATGAGTCAGGTGTGTATTTTGAATGTCTTGGCTGAAGCTTTCACGGTCAGAGACATAGCAAGAGAATAAATACTTCTGGGGAGAGCACCCAGGCAAAACCACATGCTAATGGCTACATGACTAAAATGAGCTTCTCTGCCCAAGTAGGCATGCAACCACATTCACAGCCCTGCCCCTCTCTAAATTTCTGCTTCGTTCTCTAAGAACATGCAGTGATTGCAGCTTCTATTCAATTGTGATAAATAATCTTACCTTATTGAAACAATAGAGACTGCTATCACTAAACTCAGGATAGTTGCTCCAAACACTGTACCCACAATTATAAGGATGAGTTCACTATCTGGAAACAAACAAACAAACAAAGAAGAAACAGCAATTGAAAGCTCATGGTAAATATTGCAAAGACCTGTATCTTATTAGGAAAAAAGAAGAGAAGGAAAGGAAGATAGATAGATAGATAGATAGATAGATAGATAGATAGATAGATAGATGTTATTAATTCCCAGACTCCTGGTTCTGTTTCAGTATGACTGTCTGTGGACACAAAACATATAAATGTAGGAACAGATCTGCATTAAAGACCCTCTCTTCTGGATGGTTATTTTGATCCCGGCTCAGGTTCCTAATCTCATGCACTGAATGGCTTCACACATAGTTGTTCCAGTAGAGCTGAGGGACAGGAACAACTGAGAGGGCATAGGGGTTGCTTAAACTAATATTGCTGCTAAAATATGTAGTTAGGTGTCAAATAGGTTCTTCACATGATCTAGGCATATAAAGCACATGGATTTGAGATGTTTGTTGTGTGGGACTATGAATACTGCATAAATATTCAATATCTGAATAAATTTTTGCCAAGAAAAAATCATTTTCACTGATCTTGCTGCAGAACCAGCATGACTAAGGGAGAAAGACCTAGATTCTGCATATCTTCAAGGGAAGAAGACCTGGATTCTGTATATCTTCCTTCAACTGTGAATGGAACTGCTACTAAAACCTAGTCTTAGTTCTGCATAGCTATGGTAAGAACAACAAAAAACGGAGAATTGCGTCCTGCAGGGCATGATTTCAAGATAAGGGTACAAAGAATAAGACAGCCTCTTCAGCTACCCAACCTTACTGGCGGTACCTACTTGAGGACCCCAGTCTGGATTTATGGGTCTGCCATTCAGTATTCTGAATGCTTATACTGGAGATACACAATATGAAACCACCAACGGTGCCATTACCAGCAGAACAATCCAGCACATTTAATCATAGGAGCATACAGTGGGACAACAGGGAAGGTGATTTCTCAGAATAACGTTATGCCAAATGTGTGTAAAATATCCTTGTTCAGCGCATTTTTTACATCAGTACTCACCAAGTGCCATATGAGGAAGATGAATTTTGGCATTTATTATTAGCAGGTCCCAAATTTGTGTTTAAATTCATGATGTGTTGATTTTGTGCTGATTTAGCATTTTTATTTGCTTTATGAAAAAGGCCTTAAAATCCCCAAAACTTTCTCTAGAAAAATATGTTCCATGTGATGAAAAATATCCTTCCTGCCAAACATTTACACCTAGCAAGATTCTCTGTGCTGCACTACACCTGCTGTTATAGCTAATCTTCAGAACTCTTGAAGGTCTCTTATCTGCAAACGCAGGTATGTTAGACATGTAAAAGTTTAAGAATGTAGCCGTGTGAGAGTCCAAAGGACCACGTGAGGATATGTCTTTTGCTCAAAGAAAGACAAAGGAGTTCTGAGAAGAACCATAACTGTTTTTCAGTCTGCCTTTGACTGTATTAGGTGTTCTGAGTTTTGGCACAGGCAAACACTAGAAGGCATGAAGAATGCCTTCTCCTAATCTATACGATGGTGGAAACTGAAGAAGGTGCAGCAAACAGACTCAGAAAAGGGAAAAAGCTTTGGAAGTCCAGTCTAGCTTGTCCAGATCATTACAATTTTGGGATAATACATTCAGGGCCATCAGCTCTTCATCAGTATAGAATACTAGATACACAGTGCTTGCTTGCAAGGTAAAGCACAAACAAGAACCAGTGCCTGGATATCAATGCAGAAACTTTTCAAATGAGAGTAATGTATGGATGTTTTAACACAGGGAGTGATTAATTACAGGAGAAACTAATCCATTAGTGGTGCTGAGTTCAGAATTACATGTCTTTAGATGAGGAGTAAATACTTTTCTATCAAATAACTTGGGTTGGACTAAAACCCACTGAGCTTAATGCAGAGGTCATTACAGGAAATGCTACTGTCTGTTTGAACACGAGTTTCAAGAAGGATTTTTCTTCTTTTAGTGAAATTTTTCTCCTTTTTTTCTAACATTTTCCTGCTATCAATACAGGATGCCCTAAAGGGTATTACTTGTTATTTTTGTTATATCTCAGTCAGATTAAACATTACTGGGTATTTTTCCATGCTGTAATTAAGAATCAGAAATTCTTGTGCTTACTGTTCTTGCAGTTCTCTCCGGAGTAGCCCACTGGACAACTACATGAGAGAAAAAAGGGGAAAAGAAGAAAAGAAACATAATGTCATTAAGCAGATGATCACAAAACAATAGTATATTTCCAACTTTTATCGGTAATTTCTCTACAGGGTGTGTTCATTACAGGTTTCCTCTTCAGTGCTAACTTAATATTGAATGGCTTAGCTTCACTGTTACAATAAAACAATCTGAGGTTTTCAGAATGACTGGTGAGCTGGGCACTCAAAGTTTCAGGTTCTCAGCTTGAAAAATGTTAAAAGGGCCTAATTTCTCCAAAGAACTAAGCCCTACACCTCTGAAACACTTAGAATTGCTACCCACTGACTTTATCAAAAGCCTCAATATAAGGCCTATAATCACAGGCAACTCCTTGTCTTCGTTCCACACTAGTTGCTTATATTTAAAATATATTGACTTCACGATAAGAACTTTTCAGTGTGTAGCAGCAGTAACTACAAAAAGAACTGAATTAATCGATATGGGGAGTAAGATCCTTCTGCTTCTCTGTGGGAGTGTAGCACAATCAGTCACCTACTCAGCTTCACCCGCAAACAACACTGCTCTGTTCTAATCCTGAGCTGACAGAAATACCCGCAGAGGGAAAACCCAGGTGAAATAACATAGGTCTGAAAGTTATCAGGAAACAGAGTCCCCACTGATACCAGTAGAAACGTCCCAGGGATTTGAGGCAAATCTTGCTCTAATGCCTGTTGCTTACTAAATGCTTCAGCATACCACTTTCCATGGCTCAATTACTCTGAGAGAATAATTTATGTTTATGTGGATGACACACAAAATAAGCGTGAAGCTGTTTATCCTCTTCACTGACTCACAGCTGATTTTGGATCTCCTTGACTTTCCTCTGAGGTATTGTGAGTGCACACCAATGGCTAATGCCCAGCAGTTAAAATGCCATAACTTGTGACACCATGGGAATTTGTCTACCTGCAAACCACCCAAGGCACCTCTCTGATTCACATAGCTGCAGGCTGTATACAGAAGCTGCAGGCTTCTGTATTGAGGGTGACCCTGTGTTAGATGTTCTTTCTCTGATTCACATAGCTGCAGGCTGCTCTTCTGTATTGAGGGTGACCCTGTGTTAGATGTTCTTCTCCCCTGTCTTTGCCTAGAATACAGGAACTCAAGAAAAAGCTGAGTACTCACGGTACACATTTTTCTTTCTTCTTTTCAAAGTTAGGCAAGCATTTGCATATTGGAACCCCTTCTTCTTTTGCACAGTACTTGTTTTTTTCTTTAGAACAGTCTTTACTGCAATCTGTATTTTTCAGAGGGAAAAAATACAGAGTGAATTGAAAATAACCCCCAGAAAATCAACAGAGGAGAGAACTTCACACCCTCTTCTGTTTGTTTGGTTTGGGTTGGTTTTTTTAAATTATTATATCATTGCACTGTAAACACACATAGTTTTGTTACATGTCAAAGTATCAGAATGGCTTTTTTAGGGCTATACCTGTGTAGAACAGAAACTGAAATACAAGAGCACATAATTAAAAGCAAACACTCTTTGTTCGAACCATCCAGCTTCATCAGAATAGAAATCTGGCTAGACTGCATCTCACATAGGCAAGCAAAGACCTGCAGTTTGATCTCACAGCAGATGACTCTTATCACAACTGGTGTAAAACTGGATCAGATTTAGCCAGGTTAGGGGTCACAAAAGACTACACTGGATCACATCTCACTGGCCTTTATTGTAGCCAGCTTTCATGGTTTTATCATGAGTGCTTGCAATATTTGTTGTTTTTCTTAAAATCTCATATCTTAGACTTTTTCTGTAGTGTGAAAATTTTAGTTTTCATAAGAAAATAAGATATGTCTCAGGACTGTGGAGGATAGCTAAAATATCAATAGCATGCTCATTATAAGATTCAAAACAAACAAGCAAAGAAAACCCCAACAATTAACAGTTCCTAAAACCCACATAAATCATTCTTCCCACAAAACCCTGTCTAAACACAAGTAATGCAACCCTAAAACTATCAACAAGGGACAGAGCTTGAACAGATTGTGGTAGCGTGTCATGAGACTTCCAGATTTGTCAGTGTCCCCATAGCTGCCTCCAAGTAGATTGTGGGATTTATTCCCAAAATATGTCCTAGCAGAGAAGGCTGTGAATATAGGAATCAATTTGTTCCATGCTTTACCTATTTAAGTTTTAATTCTTACACAGTTTAACAATGCATTTAAAGAGTTGCCCGCTCACTGGTTTCAGTGATAATTTTCTCAGGTTTTAGTAGTTTACTGGAATAGAATTAGGGATGTGTATAAAGTAAAACATAAGAATGTGTTTCCGTGGCTTTCTTAGCAAGACACGCATTCCCTGATTTTCTGAGGTCGGCACATTTGCAGAGGCACTGAGACAGGGAATAACCAGGTCAGCCTTTAAGGTACAGGTAAAGTAGCAAGGTTCTTACCTGAACAAGAACGATCATCCCAGGCTGTTTTTGAGTAATCTTTTTTGCATATGCATTTTGGAAACATACTTTCATAGCACTCTGTGGTGTTAGCATGACAGTTAAAAGCAGCACAATAGCTTGTAGCTTTAAAAGAGAAAAAGTCAGGAAGCAAACTGAGTATTAATAATATCATTTCAGAGAAAGCAGTCCATTTGCTCAGTAAATCATAAACCAATTATTTAGCAATTCTGGAAAAAAAAAAAAAAAGGTAAGTCCTTTTTTGGAGACATCGGTATTGCAGGTGTTTGGACCGGCCCTTTCTTTTTCCTTGCTCTTTACCACTTAAGGTCCTGTTTCCATCCCAGCTTCTGACCTTCTGTTTCTCAGCCTCCTACAACTGCCTTCAAACCCTCCTCCCCCCACAGTCCATGAAGAGGGATACTTCATACTCTGAACACTGAATTTCTGACTCACGTTAAAAAAAACTATAGGAAAACCCCAGCACTATTCCCTTAGTTATTTCCACAACTGTAAGGCCCAGATCCCATACAGTTCTACATAGTTATAAATGTTTATAACATGCGGCTCATTTAATGAGCAATATTAGTATGATGTTTGCCCAGCACGTTGCTCTTCAGATCCACGTCCCGGTGGTGGCAATGGTTTACAAACCCCAGTGCTGGCATACGGAATTGGGACATAATTGCACTGGGGCTTTGTGAGCTCTCAGGTTTTTTGTATTTCCCCCTCACATTTAGGACTAGCACACAGGAAATGTCATGAGTGAGGTGGATACAGTCACCCTCAGGTGGGCTTTGCTGGACATATAAATGTTCTAACCAGTTTTGAAGATAGGAATCTGTTTCTACCAATTATTTACTTCTACAGTAAGGAATTACATACCTCTGTACTGAGAGACATAGGATGAAGTTTCCTGTGCTCTGTTTATTGCAGAACTAACTGTCTCATTTTCTACACCTGAGTTCTCCGTAAACAGGTTTATCACTGTTACACTTGTCGGAAAAGAAGATCTGTCTTTTTTTTCAAGTCTGAAAAATACAGATAGCATAATTTTAAAGTCTCACGTAATCTATGTGGATAGCAAACTAGATGCAAATACAAGAGAAGACTTCTGCCAAACTTCCCTCTCTCCCCTAGCTTCTTTAATCCCACGAAGTAGGTAGTTGCTAAGACACCTGAAAATTAATTTGTGTCTTGCTTAGGAATATATTAATAGCCATCTTTCCAGTAGATCCAGATGTAAATTAGTAGCTGGTAATCAAAGGCTGTTGGATTTACTGCTAACACCATCTCTCATGCAGATGATATTTTTTTACTGGGCTAACCTCAAGCCAGCTGCAGTATGGAGGACCTCATCTGTTAGACCCTAACTTTCGTCTGCTCACACCAGTCTGTGGTGCCACCCAGGCATGACGTGGAGAACACGTCCTGAAGTGTGGTGAGGATAATTCAGGGTACGACCACAATGAATTCAGAAGGGTTGGTGCTGACGGCATGCTAACTGGGTTGGGTTCAGCTGGAGAGCAATCTCCCTGCGGTGAGGTGGAGGACAGCAGTGACTACCCCATTCTTCAACTGAACTTCATGCTGCTGGGATATGCGCACAAACATCTTTAAGTGGTAGATTGCTGTAAGGTTTTAAGGTGTCACTGTGCCCCATGTGTCTGTCACAACCACTCTGGTGGAAGCTACTGCCCTCACAACTCCGCTTAACTGCATAACTCCTGGGGTTCACTGAAAGGGTTTACACCGCTGTGTGTGCTAGCATGCCAGGCTTTGCTTGACGTGGATTAACGAGCACTCACAGAGAAGCTGGCAGAGCTCTGAGGACAGTAACCTGTAACAGATGGCAATGGGAAGAAAGGGACACCTTACAGTGTCCACCTAGACCAGCAAATGACCTATTCCTACAGCTACAGACACCAAAGCCCATTCAGTAACACCTTTGCTCAGCCAGCCCTCAGGAGAGACCAGCAAATGCACAATGAGATGCAGTGAACTTCTGTAAAGAGGGTGCTCCTTAAATTAAACTGGGACTCCAAGCTGGATTTGATCAGAGGAAGCTCAGAGTTAACCGTTACCATTTCAGAGACATGTCAGATATCACAGGGACTAGTGCTGTATCCTACATGGTGCTACGAGTGGGAGATCCACTGTGAAGCAATCTCAGCCAGCCCACTTCACAGACATGCTGGAATTCCATGGATAAAAATGGGGCCAGCATGCTAGAAACTTCAAAATACAAAAAGAATGCCCTCATTTAACAGGAGGCGTGGTGAACTGAATTCATCCCATACCCTTTCTTGAACTGAGTACTCCATGGGAAACAGATTAAAATGAGGTATGTGTGAAGCACGCACTGTGCAAAAACCAAACTGGCAAACTTACTGAACTTCCACAATGACAGTCTGCCTAAAGCTTGTTAAACCTTTGAAGGCATCCTTAAACTGTAAAAGATAAATGAATTGGAGTTAAAGGCGAGCACAAACACAGACCAAAATCACATGAAGCACTGACGCTTCAGCTGTAAAGCTTTAATCCAGAACATGCTCCTAGAGGCACAATTAAAGCAAGCTGATCTGTCACCACAACTCTGCAAGTTATTGTAGAAGAGGAGTAGTGGGGTGGTGATGTAAAACAAGGAATATAGGACAGCAGTGGAGGGATGGAGAGACACGAGCTGAATGAGTGTCAGGCAGTGTGTTGGGGTTGCCCGGTTGGATAAAGATAGATATTCCCTTGCTCATCACTTAAAAGGGCATCTCTGCGGTACCAACCTATGCACAATTAGAGGGAAGAGGGAGAAGTAAGCATCCTTACATGTGGCGTGTGTCCCTAAGATGCAGTGAAGTGTGATTGTCAGGGACTGATCTTATGGGGAGAAGCACAAGACTGATGAAAGCACTGGGGGTTGTATGGGGTCAGCAGAAAAGTCACTGCTCTCCCTCATCCCGTCTGAAGTAGGGAACAACTGGTGAAGGCAACTGCCACACAAACAGGAGGCCCCATGAGAAAAGGACAAAATGTCTAAGTCAACTGAAATGAAAGATAAACTATCTTTCTTTATAATAAGAATAGTTTTTTATGTTATTTTCACTTCTGAATACTATCACATATCTATTCTAGTGCTGCATATCATGCATGTCTGTAGCCATGTGAAAATACGTTGGATAAAAAAAAATGAGGAAAATATTTTTTAACGTTCTGGAGGGATAATTTTTGGGTTACTTTCTGATAAAACATTCACAGGAAGCAATATAATGACATAACTAATTTGATAACCTTTTTTGATTAGTTCTGGTGGATATTTGGTGTCTATTTTTTATCAGGTGCCTGGTAGAGCTGTATTCTTCTTCTTCCTTACTTCCAGAAACTGCCATAAGCAAATCAACTTGTTTCAACATGGCAGTATAAATTAAACTGTTCATCTTATTTTTCCAGAAAATCCATTGTAAGATTTTATCTATAATCATAAAATGCTCAAAACATGTAATACCCATTTCACTAATAGCGTTAAAATACTAATACTGGTACGCTTGTGGAAGGGGCTTGATAATTGGGTATTTAAACACAACTGGACAGCCATTCTGAAAAGTTTGTGCTTTGTGAAAACAATGGCTTTCTTTAAAACTATTTTCAAAGTTCAGTTACTCATACCACTGAGTATTACTGAGCCCTCAGCAAGCAGCAGAGATCAGAAACTAAACAGGTGGGAAAACTTGACTCAGCCCATGGTTTCTGAGAGGGAATGGTGAAAGATCCAGAGCAATTTATGTGAGAAGTTCCCAGAAATGGCAGTAAAAATGCAGATACTACTTATTGGTACATCACTTCAGCAAGCAGTATGCATGTACTCATCTGAAAGCAAAGTTTAAATCTTTTATGAATAGATCTAGCTTAGTGTGAAGGACTCTGACAGAAGTAGATTTCTCAAGTGAAACTATCCTAGGCTCCACATTAAAGGCAGTGTGTATCCCCTCTGCATGACATTCAGAAAAGCATTAAATATACAGAAAAGGTTTAAAAAAATCATCACTCACAAAGTCTGTTATATTTTGGAGCATTTCTTCATACTGCAGAGAGTTTACATTTAGAACACTATCGCTGTAAAATGATTTCAGTGTAATGGCCCCTGGGAATATTTCCCCTGGAACGAGAACAGAGAATATTAATTAATTAGAAATCATTCAAATAAATCAGGTTTCACCTTAGAGTTCTCCAGCCTTCAGAGCTGGGGAAATACAGTGCAGAAATCAACCAGTACTACTCTTCATATACGGGAGGAATCATCAGGGGACAAATGTTCGCTCAGCCAATTCAGCCACAATGGGGGACTGTCATGGTTTAACTCTGGC